TCTTCTTCTTTCGACGCAAAACTTTAAAACAAATCATTTACGTTTAACTAAGCTAATTCAAAAAGACTTGTTTTTTGACCTCTCTTGCTTCATTCTGACAATACAAATGACAGCTGACTCATTTCTTATATATAAGAAAAGTCGTTACAGCCAAAATCAATATGTTTTAAATGGTTGTGAGATTGTGAGCATTGATTCGCCCAGCTCTTGCTGCGAATAAGTAACAAGCGACAAAATACCTTTGTTTATGTAGAGATACGATTCGCCAGAAATCTGTGATTTAAAAAAATCTGGTCTTGGCAAAGTTCCGTGCTTAAGTTATTTTGAAACGGAAGAGAGGCCAGTTAAAACCATTCAAGCACGTGCTGCACAAGGGGGCTTCGATTATGATGAGTAAGTATATACCTCATGCCTGTAATGTATGAAAAATAATTGCCTGTCTTTTCATAGTTACATAATTACAGCATACCTATCATTTACACATGGTATTCCACCTGAAGCAGAACATTTGTTCGATTTACCGGATCAATGGTCTTCCTATTGTGGGAATGCAAACGCAGGTGAGTGACAATTCTCAACTACTTATCAGTTCCGTCTATCGTGTATTTTGTCGATTTTTAGGTTTTGATATAGAACCTGTACGCACATTTGTGGTAACTCCAGATGGCCAAGATCATTTTAAATTGAAATTGCTAACACCACCTGTTCATTCACTTGGTGATCAAGTTAAAGTTGAGTTTAAACTGCGTCCGTCATGGTACTACAATGGAACACGGTGTACTCAATTTAATCCAATTATTTTCGATAGAGAAAATTGGCAAAAACCACAACAAGTTGACATGTCGTTTGGTGATTATGGTTGTTGTGAATATGTAATCACTGGTATTGGTGGTGGATATGATTGGCAATATACAACACAAACATTTACTGTCTATGCATGCGATGGAGAAGCTGGGTATGATTGCAAGAAGTACCCGTGCGGAGCTTGAAAACAGTTGAACGGGTACTTGTATGCCCGTTTCGTTGCTGCGTTCGTTGCACACGTGTCACAACAATAAGCATAAATATAGTATAAAATCTACAAGAATTAAAATGTTCTATACA